TATATATATATATATATATAATTTGTGCTTAATGGATCTCTTTTATCTCCTATAAGATATAAGTATGAATTTAAGAAAAGGTGAGGCTGGGGTGCATAATATAAAAGAAACTTAAAAGCTTTGAATTTAAATTCCTTTATTAAAATATCACCTATGATTTAAACTGCTAATTCAACATGACGTCCAGCACAAAAATCAACCTTTCACTTTATGCCAATTACAAAATAAACTAAAAATGATAATTTAAAATAAATTATTTACTATTATTTCAACCAAATAGACATAAATAAGACATTCACAAATCAGGAAGACTTTAAACTTATGAATCATGCTATTCCCACACAGAAGCAGAGTAAAAATATTTTATTTATGTGTTACATAATAATTAATGATGTGATAAAATATAGATAAGATCCTACAACTAAAGAATAATTATTCAGATTTCATCTTTCCTCCCTTTAAAACGTTTTTTATTAGTTTGGGGTAAATTAAGAATAATGAGAATTGGGGCTGGAGAGATGGCTCAGTGGTTAAGAGCATTGCCTGTTCTTCCAAAGGTCCTGAGTTCAATTCCCAGCAACCACATGGCGGCTCACAACCATCTGTAAAGAGGTCTGGTGCCCTCTTCTGGCCTACAGACATGCACACAGACAAAATATTGTATGCATAATAAATAAACAAATATTTAAAAAAAGAATAATGAGAATTGACTTTTAATATTTTCACTTCATCTTTAATTTTCTGATATCCAACTCTAAATTAGTAACTCTTCATTCTGGTGTTATCAAGTTTTATTGTAGATGTCACCAATATTTCCCCTAGCCTTCTTTATCATTTGTTATTTGCTTGGTAATTGGCATGAAGTGAAAGGTTCATTACATTTTTTAAAATTATATTGTTTTTCACATTTTGACTCTCAATGAGTTTTAATTTCTGGTAGTTTACAACAAACTCTTGATTTTAGACAGGTTTATCTATCTGCCACCCTGGCTTGATTCAATTATTCTCTAAAGATGCTGTATGTTGTACCTCTACCCTTAGTGAACCAGAAATCTTCTAGAACTAATTTAACTGCCTACTTTTTCAAACTTTACTTAGTACTTAGTCCCTCATTACTTGGTCCTGTTTCTCCTTTGTAGTATAAAAAGTAGGGGAAAATAGGATTAATTATTTCAAACTCTTCATTATCGCAAGTGCCTAGGACAGTGTCTGGAGAATAGCCAGAATCCATTGAGGCAATGGATAAGGAGTTCCGAACACAAAATAAAAAGACAATAAATACTCAGATTTTTTTCTATTGATGAGTTAAAACGCTTACATCCTGAAATATAGATTGATTCTCCATCTACATTTAGTGGTAATTTGACAAAACCCGTTGAGTTGGGAGAGCTATCATGATACCTTGAATCAAAAAACAATGTCTAGGCCGGGCAGTGGTGGTGCACGCCTTTAATCCCAGCACTTGGGAGGCAGAGGCAGGCGGATCTCTGTGAGTTCGAGACCAGCCTGGTCTACAAGAGCTAGTTCCAGGACAGGCTCCAAAATCACAGAAAAACCCTGTCTCGAAAAACCAAAAAAAAAAAAAAAAAAAAAAAAAAAAAAAAAAAAAAAAAACAATGTCTAACACTCAGACTGGTAGAGTTTCAGCTAGAAGGTGCTATTTTTCTCATACAAAACTATGCTTATTATACTCCACTGAAAGCTTAACTAAACATATTTTCTTGATATGCTAATGCTTTCTGCAAACCTTTTCTTGATTCTACCATGTAATTTCAAAAGATTCAATTAAGGGAAGAAGATTTAACTACCTTTGAATGAAATTTCTAGCAAGAACACATTTTAAATTTCAAAGCAGACAGTTGTTTTATTACTAGCTGTATCGGTTTACATTGGAAACAGAACATTTGCCTCCATCCATTCCTGCCTCTTTCTGACTGTGTCTCAAGCCTGCAAAGAATAACTGGATGTGGGGGAAGAGATAATGAGGGAGACTTCCACCAGGAATTGTGAAAGAAATGCCTGAAACACTAAATGTTCAATAAGGTAAAGTGTTGGATTTCCTTCCCTGAAAACATAGTGGGTCTTGGGTCTCGGTGCCGTTACTGCTTAAGTACTTTAACATGTCTGAGCTTAGTTTACTTATCTGCAATGTGAAATAAAATATCTAGGGCTGGAAAGACTGGGAGAACATCACAGTACCAACCATTGAACATACAAGGTGCTTAATAAGGTATTTATCAAATTAAGTTACTAATATTGAACTACTATTTATCTTTTAAATAAATAATAGTGACTGGGTAACCAAGCATCTAAAACTGAAATTTAATTTTATATATGTGAATACATACATACATACATATCGGCAACAGAAAAGGAATGGCATATGAATAAGTCAAGCACACTGACTTTGATAAAACACAGTTTGGAACTGAGGTGACTAGACTCTTGTGCATGGGATCTGATCATGGGCATATATATCCAAACACAAGGAGCAATTCAGGACGTTTTCCTGTGTCTCCCCATGTCTCAGAAATATGATGACAAATTCTAGTTCACAAAAGTAAATGTAATGAAAACAACAGATTCTGCATGTTGACATATTAATAGTTTTCTACAAGTGTTTAAACATAAGCTAAGGACATTGAATTTGCCAATACTGGGAATAATAATGGATGGATACCTGCAGAATGATACCTCCTCTCTTAGTTCCGGGGGGCGAGGGAGAAGGAGACAACAAAAAAGAAAAAAGGTCGAGCAAATTTTCAACTAAGGAACTCAAAACATAAATTAAGAAACCTGCTATAAAATGTTGGTTCTGGAGACTCATTAGGAAACCAAAAGCCAAAAAACCTGCCATCATAAACCTCACCATCTGAAATTTATGTTGAAATAGGTTCAATTAAGGCTTTGAGATAGGTGAATCAAGCGGCTGATTTATGTATTTCTAATCAAGAATTTAAAAATTTACTTTACTGGCCAAAGGATTGTTTTTTTTTTCATCCGCAGTTATTGAATGAGCGTTGATATTTTGTGCAAAGCCCTGAAATACATTCTGCTATCAGCATACACAAGTGTGTTTCTTCTTCCTGTTACCTCCTTTAGCACCTGTGTTTGCTGTTAATCACTTGGAGTTGCTGGTTGCTTCTCTGCCTCCCACAATGCTTTTGATATTGCTTAAGGCACTTCCTGCACAGAAGTCTACACTTTGTTTGCTGTTTATCATGTAACCAGGTAATGTACTAGCAAATAATAAATAATACTAAATTAGTAAATATTAATACTAATTAGCAGCTTTACTAAATTTATTACTAATTTAGTAACTACCAAATTAACTTTATAGAATCCACTATTCCAAAAGTATATCAATTTTTAAAGATTTATTTTGTTTTTAATTGTGGGTCTGGTTATCAGAGTACAGATGCTTGAGGAGGCCAGAGGAGATATCAGGGACCCCTGGAGATGAAGTTTGAGGCAGCTATGAGACACCTAATGTCTGAAATGGGAACTGAATTTTAGTCCTGTGCAAGAACAATGTGTGCTTTTAACCACTGTGCTATTTCTGAGCACCACAAAATATATTCCTTTTTTTTTCATTCTCCTTAAGTTTTAATTAATGGATAATTACATAATTTCCCTGTTTCCACCTTCTAATCGTCCCCATGTACTGGCTCATTGCTCTCTCTCTCTCTCTCTCTCTCTCTCTAATTCATGCTCTCTATTTCTCTCGTTGTTGTACACACACACACACACACACACACACACACACGAGCATATCTCTTTTTCTAAGCCCATCGGCAGCTCACAAATCTCAGGGACCTTGCAGAGGAGACTCAGCTTCCTCCTGTTACCAGATCACTGTGCAACTGAATGAAGTTGTTCCTCTTGTTTGGCAGGTGAGGAGGCTGGGCATCTACAAGAGACTGTGAGTTTGTCAGATAATATTGTGCAATAAAGAGCTGAATTTCATGATCAAGCTTCTTCTTAAAAGTAGTCAAAGATGGTCAGTCATCTTCGACGATCTCAGTCACTGGTGAAAGTCTACTGCTTTCTATCTCTTGGTGTCATTAGAAGAACAAGGCATTGATTGTATGCAAATTCTTTGCTGCAACCCAAGGTCTGCCCCTGAGAGGTCCTTGGGAGTCACAATGATGAGTTAGCTGTCACAGGGATGGGCAGCATTGTCATCCAGGCACTTTTTCCCAGTCACCTACATTATGTCTATAGGAGGCTTTTCCATGCCTCTTCATCGTTTGGTAGGGACAACCACCAAATTGGTAGAAATTTACTGAAAGTTGAGATAAAGAGTCTTACAGTACTTGAAGGCTCTAGCAACTGAATGCTGGTCAGCTGACTCTGAAATAAGCCCTTTAATATTATCCCCCCGCAATCAGAGGCTTCAGGGAAAGAACAAATCGAGGGTGTATAGTAAATGTATGTAACTCTCTTGGCTCAATTCTTTTCACATATGACAATTAGTAAGTAACACCCCGGAATACATGCTTCTCCTAAATTAATGTGAAAAGATCCTAGATAGGTATTTTTTTTTCTATGACAGAGACCGGTTTTTCATTTTAAAACATTGTTAGGAAGTTTGCTTGTAAAGGCAGGTCATTTCCTAGGCGATACACCCAACTCCTAAGTGAACACTTACCTATAGAACCCCGGCCCTCAGTCAGTTACCTCGTACTGTTGGGAGGGAACATTCTAAAAAAGCTTCAACAGAAATTAATAGCAACTACAACGATATGGGAGCATCTTCCATTGCCAGTGGTGCTTTCTATCTAAAGAGGTGTGGGATGAGTAGGTTGAAAATTTTCTTAATCTGAAAGCCAACCCATCCCCAGAAAAATAGCCCCCAAAACACCAACCCTCTGTCCCCTCATCTCTCTCCCGTTTCCATGCCCTCTTTCTCTGTGTACAAGTGTATTTTGACCATTAACGCTTGGGTGGAAAGTTGAAAGACACCTAACCAGCTGCACCCAGCCAGAGCTCATGGGCGGAGGAGCGAAGTTCTAGGGCTGAGCGTTCCTTTTTCAGCGCCTGGCCATGCAGGCGCTCGCGGATACCTGCCCTGCTTGGCGCCGCGTCTGAAGATTCGCCTCGCACAACAGTTGAGTCTCCATCTGGCTACCAACCCACCCGAGCTTTCTTCTCCTCCATCACCACCTTCCTGTCTCCCCCTCCTCCCCCTCCTTTCCGTCTTCCCTCTCCACCCCCGCCCCCAATCTCCTCCTCTTTTTCTCACTACAAGCGGTTGCTGATGCTGAAGCCGAGCGTCACTTCGGCTCCCAAGGCAGACATGGCGACATTGACAGTGGTCCAGCCGCTTACTCTGGACAGAGGTAAGGGAGCGGCTGGTACAACAGGCCACAGAGTCCGCACAGCTTCCCCCTTCGCCCTGCCCAGTCCCACTGGGACAGCAGGATGCGCTCGGCTAGGGGCAACTGGGCGAGGACGATCAGTCTAGGAGGCTTTCGCGCCGGAGCAGGACACTTTCTACCCCTCTCTCCTCGCCTCGTCCCTGCCGCCCCTTCTCGCAGCGCTCGCCGGGGCGTGGATGCCTTGTCAGGGCTCCAATGCTTCAGCCACGAGTCCTAGTCCCTTGCCGGGTCGCCTCTGGGCCCCGGCTTTGTTGGAGAGGATGTGCGGGAACCACTGAGCGCTGGTAACTGGAGAGGGGCAGAGAAAGCTCTTCAAGCCAGAGCAGTAAAGGGACCAGTGGGGGAAACCAGCCAACAACTGCCGGCCCGAGGACCCGGAGGGAGGAAGTTTGTCCCCGCTCTGGAGACAGGATCTGTGCTGCTGTGGTGACTGTGAGATCGCCCCGGGGCCGTAGGGCGCTTGGCAGGGTAGCTGGGTGCTCGGCCGCCGGGCTGCCGAGCCAGGGCGCTGCCCTCGGGCTAAAGGGCAGAGCGGAACCTGGGCAGCCTAGCGAGCTAGGGGACGCTGCATCCCGGAGGCAAGCTGGCTTGGCTCAGGCTTCCCGTCCGGAGCTACAGCTTGGGTCGCTGGTTCGCAGTGCTCCCTCCGCCTGCAGTTCCAGGCTGGTAGCAACTCCTGTCTCCTGCTCCAAACCAACCTAGTTCTTCGCCAACCAAGTGCACCTCCGTGCCTGGGCTGCAGACAGCGCGGGGACAAAGCGCAGGCTTGGTAACAGTTTAACTTCTAGCCTGTGACCTGTGCGTCCTACTCTTTGGCTGCATGGGAAACAGCGTTTGCCTTCTCCTCAAACCTTCCCAAGCCTGGTTACTGGTTTCTCCTCTAAGATTGGGGCCTGCGTAGTGCACATGAGTGGTACCCAACTGTGAGGGGGAGTTTCCTTTCTCCTTCCCCACGTCCAGGTATAGAGCGCCAGAGTCCCTGCTCTGCAGAGAGAGGGCACCTCTAGCTCTGGTCCGAAGCGGCGGGGCTTAGGACCCGGGGCAGCCATTTGAAAATGCTGTGCTCAAAAGAAAATGATTTAGTCCTTGTCCCTCTAAAATTTCTCTTTCTGGGGGATTAAACCAGCGGGCCCAGCAAGGCAAAAAGAGCATCCTGCTGCGGAACACAGTGGCAAAGCTGGTAAACTCTGTTTGAGGTTCTTAATTTAGAGAGATCTCCGGTGACTTTACCTCAATCTGTTGGTGCCAGAACAGATATTATGTGGAGCCCATAGCAACCTCACTTGGGGTGAGAGTTGAAACATAATTGATTTTTATGTTGGGAAATGTTCGTTTACACGCTTGCAAATTAATAACAGTAAAGAGCTCAGAAATCCGCCGTCTAATCTATGATTTTACCCCCCAATATCGTCTCTACTAAGCAGGATAAATCCACTGCTGGTAAGAGCCAAGCAGATGGTAAGCTATTAAAGACGATGGGTTTCCCAAGTATTTCTGTTTTAATGTGATGAGTTCTTATATTGTCCCATTACTAAATTACACTCATTAACCATCCCAAGTTTAACTGCGTTCAACAGTCCACGTTCTAACTCCGTTAGAAGCTAACGGTCCAAGAAGAGCACATACCCAAACAAGTTCATATCTCACTGCTACTATTACTAAGACAACTGTCCCACTTTGGGGTGGGTGGTATCTTAGCCCTTAGGTGCCCCAGTCAGTTGTTTTGGGGAGGTGCATTCTTGTTTAGACTCAAATGGCACCCGTCCGTGATTAGATCCATACAGTAACCCAGGAAGTATTTTCACAGGTTAACTAGGTGGGTATCTGAATGAACCATCTATCCATATTGGCTTTAACTGTTTGGTGAGTGAGAAAACTGTCAATAAAGTATCTTCCCTCTATTTAATTGCGATGATACCTTGACATGATTGAGCAGGTAATTTTATTATTATTAGGTTGATGGATCGTGGGATTCTAAACATTGTCCTTGAACAGGGAGGGCTTAACTCGGTTGTTCGTTGGGGACTTGGGACTGGTGATTGCGCTACAGTGTAGTTTTACCCTAACTTCGGCTTCAATGGTTGGCCACCTACTGGCGACTAGATCACACTAAGCTCTGGGGTGCTGTTTGATATACTCTAAACTGTTCCACCCAAAGTCTTTTGGTCCTTCCAAAGCCTTTACAATGGGTTGTTAGTTTTGTCCCCGCCCCCAGTGGGTGGAGCTCCTTGAGCAACAAAGCCATTTCTGTATCCATCTTCGATTTCCTCATAGTCCGTGGCTTGTGGTGGAAATCTCAAACTAATGTAGATTGGTGTTAGTGAACTAAAACCTGAAGTAAATCAAGAGCAGTTGGTTATGGGGATTTCATACCAAACTGAGATATAACCCGTGGTCTCAGCACTGCAGAGCTCTCAGGGTTGGTAGGGAACGCATAGGGAGGCTGCCAGGAACCTTTCTCCTATTGACTTGGTGGATTTTCATCAGCCACAGCTGCTACCAAGGCTTTGCCTTTGGTTTTTGATTTTTTTTCAAGACAAGGTTTCTTTGTGCAATCCAGGCTGTCCTGGAACTTGCCTTGTAGACCAGGCTGGCCTTGAACTCAGAAATCTGCCTGTCTCTGCCTCCCGAGTACTGGGATTTAAAGCCTGTGTCACCAGGCCCCAAGTAGGATTGTAGGTGGGAAGAAGGAAATAAGACTCTTGTCAGGGACAACAAAGTGCACCTCAACAAATGAGAATACACTCGCTGTGATTTTAGGGCTTCCGGTTAATTTCTAGTACTTTAATTTAGATGATTTTTAGGCTATGCTACCTCTAAATGGGAGATTTAAATCTTGCTTAGGGTCCTTTGGCAGCATATATACAAGCATACATACATGCGTATGCACATACATCATGCGTGCATAATACACATACATGCACATACATATGGAATCTTGATGGAAAGTTTTTAAGGAAACAAATCAAAGCTACAGGCTTTAAATTGAGATTTACTCACTTTGAATTCAAACAAAAGTAAGACTGAGAAGTCATATTCATCTGGGTTTTTTTGTCTGGGAAGTAAGATTTTAAAAGATCCAGGATGGCCCAAAGGGATAGACAGGGTGACTTGGGGGCTTTCACATCTCTGTAAATATCCAAAGATTATTTTCTAATGTCATCAAGACATTGGACTAGTCAATACTTCAAACTTTGGGGGTGTGCAATGGGCAGAGTAGATTACTGTTTAGTGATTCTTGATATTCGTCATTTACTTACTGAGGTCCTACTATAAATCACATTTTATTTGGGATCAGTGTATATTGAAAAACTAGATAAATGACAATTCTAATTTCTGTCATAAATAGGGGCCACTAGGCAAAGGTTTCTTTTTTAAGCCACACAAACAACTCATTCATTCGTTCAGTATATCGTTATCACCTGTTGCATACCGATGCTATGGGAATGCAAGAAGAAAGGTTCTTTGTCCCTATGAGTCTTAAGAGACTACTAGAGGAGACAAATGGTAAGGGATGGATTTACTAAAAATTATTGAGTGTCACCCTTATTCCAAATACTGCTTGAAGCACTATAGTAGTGCCAGTTGAGCAAAATAGGTAAAATCTAATGGTGTTTGCATGCTAGTGAGAGGGATATAAGGAATACACACATACAAGTGTGAGGCTGATGGGGTAAAAATAAAAGTGAACAAATGACAATGGATCACTATACACACACACACACACACACACACACATCAAGGAAAGACCCCTTGTGACTGCGACATCTGAGAAGACCACTGACGAAAGGAAGGAAACAAGCTTTGTCGATAATTGTGGGTAAAAAGCCTCAGGAGGAAGAATGGAAGCCCCCAGCACGTCACATTTTTATTGTGAAAAAGCAAGCAAAAGAGGAGTCTTAGCGAATGGGTATTTGATGGCGGTAGCCAGGGGCTCAGATGACGGGACTCATAACGATGATGTTAGAGTATATGAGAATGTAAAACGCTCTGAAGAAAACTGTCTGAGAGGAGATCATGGCCGTGAGAGCTACTCGGTTGGTGTTGATTAAGAACGACTCCCTGAGAGAGGGAAAATTTCAGCTGGTCTTCATATATAATATTATGATCTTTACAAAAAGCAGTCGTGATGAAGCAAGTACATAAGTACATATAGCATCAGTTCCAGATTTACTACTTGGTTACCATCTAGTTAATACATTGAGGGAAAAAAAAAAGATAGTCAAAAATTAAAATTACCGAAAAACAATTACACCAGAAGGCTACATCATGAGTTAGAAATTTGGTTATATAGGCCAAGTAAATCTACAGATTAGCTTTACACTATGTTTTATTGTCAGATGATAATATCATATGGTAATTTGATTTTCAAGAAGGCACTAAACCCTTGCTCTTATGGTACTATACTTAAATCTTTATCTTGAATGCCAGTGATCTTGATAAGGGATGGCTAGTTTGGGGTTAGATAAACATCGGTGTAAATAGCAGTACATGTAATTTACCCCTGTGGCAGCGAAAGCTTCTGATAAGGAGATGAGCGTGAAAATCATCTCTTCCCACTCTTAAATGTCCTCAGACCCTCTTCCTGTGTTCAGAGATTGGCTTGGCCAGATTTTAATCTCTAAAACTAGGAATGACTTTCAGCTAAACTCAGGGCAGCAAAGCAGAGTGCAGCCTGTGATACTGAATACTGCCGCCTTTATAGAACCTGGAAATGCCTGGCTGTGTTAAACACTGAACCCTTTCAGGCACTTTCCTGAGGGCGCAGTAGCTTCCACTCTCCTTCACGTCCCATTTCAAGGTCAGAGTGGATAATATGCAAAGCCCCTTTAAATTTTGACCTTTGCTTAACCTTTCCCCTTCAAACCATTAAAGCAAAACTGTTTAAAAAATTATGACCCATAACATGATAATACAAAACCTTTGGTAGGAAAAAAAAAAGGAATAATTTAATTTTTCTC